AGTCTGCGTGTGTCTCCCCGTGGTCGCGTGGATTTTTCTCCGGGGTCCTCCGTGTTTTTCCCCTCCACATTTCGAATCGACATCAAGCGATGAGAGCATTTGGCTGCTGCAAATTTCCACGCGATGATAATGTTGATGATCAGCCGCTTCGTTGAGCTATCATTTGTGGCCAGGTCGCTCCTGAAAAAGAGCTACACAGCTCATTGGGCCTTACCTGGTAAAATATAAAACGTATACAGTTTCAACTGCCGCGCCAGGAGATCGATCATGTTGGGCAGCGCTCGCAAGTGACATCGACGCAGTGAATGTCGAAATCGTCTCTGTGGTGAGCTGTGCCCGCGGGCCTTGAGTGAATGTGCTCGTGTCTTAAACATGCTTTATGACTGCTGCGCTTTTAATTAAATGCGTTACGACTGAGAGAGAAGAGAGAGGCGCGGGTGGGGGTGAAGAGAGAGAGAGAGACAGAGAATAGAGAGAGAGAAGAGACTATCTGAAGAGAAGAGAGGAACAAATAACTCTTTCACGCCTTTTACACAAATGAATAAGGCGACTGAGATTGTAGAAGAGCGACCACACACACAACAAAAGACAAAGATCCCCCGAATGGCCTCTCGCGGACTGATGGGGCAAGTGCTGTTCGCGAGCTCCTACGAATGCCTGCACTGCACATGATAGAGGGTGGTGTGGTCAACATCACGCCCGACCGACCGCCTTTGTCTCCCCGGCGCTGGATGTTTACTGCACGCACTGGGTATGCGTTTGAGGCTGAGTCGACCGAGGTTCAGGCCCCGGGACCGGTTCAAATATTAGTCACCGATGTTGGCCTTGAGCTGGAAATTGAACTCGGGGTCGCCGCGGTCGCACCCCCAGCGCGCTCACCACTACACCATCGCTCCCCACTACACCATCGCTCCCCGCTATCGGTATACGACAAGGTATCACACGCGCACCAAACCAAAGACAAAGATCCCCCGTGTAACCTTGAACAGACTGTCGGGTCAAGTTCCCTTAGCGAGCACTTATGAAGGCCAAAGCGGCAAACGAGGGGATGGGTGGCCAGCTCCGAGCGCCGGCAGCCTTTGTCTCCCCAGTGACGATGTTTACACACCACCATCAGCACCACATACACATTTGAGGTTGAGTCGACCTAGGGGAGGCCCAGGACCGGTTTTGGCCGTGAGCCGGTATCGGGTTCGCAGCGCAGCGCGCTAACCGCTGCACTACCGCTCCTCACAACGCACACACGCACTAATCTCGTACCACACACACACACTGATCTCTCTCTCCCGTACACTAATCTCTCACACATACGCACGTGGGAAAGCTGACTTGGCAGAAAACTAACCCTCCCCTCCCCACGCGCGTTATACTTCACGATCTGTCTCCAACAGACGTATGCCCCGCAAGTTTCTCGCAAGCGTGCCAATGCGATCCATGAGCTCGCTCGCAATGCTAAGCGATGGTCAGGAATATCATCCCACGACCGCCTTCCTGGCATGCTGTTCTGGCCTCAATAGGTGCTCGACTCACAACACTTGGCCGCCCACAGCCTACCCGCGTTCGCACGCGTGTTGAACTTTTTTCGCACCCTACGTAGGCAAACCCGCGCTAATCGGGGGTGCCGGGGAAGGACAGCAAGCGTGTGGTACAGGAGTAGTTTTGGTACGCTGCTCATAAGAGGGAGTTATGGACAATCAAATATGAATTTATTTTAAAAAAGCATCGTTCAATCGGGGTGATAAACGTGAACAAATATTGCAATGATGTACGCACGCTTGCCATTGTCATCGAGAGAGATGTATAAAGAGGAACACGTGGAATTGCGAGTTAAGAATAACATCATCACCATCATCATTCAAATTGTTAAGAAGAGTCATTGGGGGATGGGGGAGGTGCATGGGCAAAAGAACTCGTCACGGCTAAGAGGAGTCGGGAACGAGAGCCGACGGTCGAGGCGCATAACAGAGTGGCAGCCAAAGGGAATGGGTGATACGTCCACCGAGGAGATGGAGCGATGGAACGAGTTCGCGTGCCTGTAACTGGGTGAAGCGTCAGAGGCGGGCGCAGCGGGGGCAGCTTTTGGAGAACGCTTCGGCGTTATCATCCAGCCGTGAAGAATTACACACTGCCCGCTCGCTATGAAGGCGCAGTTAACGGCGATTGATCTCGTGCGAGTCGTCGTCGCAATATCCGCTCGGCGTTGTCTCTCATCAATTCATAGCACGCATCATTGCTATTCACGCTCATCACGAAGAGCACACGCGCACGCAACGAAGGCAAATATTCCCCGTGTAGATGCGGGTTTTTTTTTTAAACGCGCTCTCTGGGCAAAGCGGTGTTAGCCAGCACCTATTAAAAGCCGGCACAGCGCACGAAGGCGATGGTGTAGTCAAGCAGCACCAAGACCGGCTACCCTTGTCTCTCCCCCCCTCCCCTCCCACCACCGAGGCCAGTAATCGAACTCGGGTCGCCGGGTTCGTAACGCAGCGCGCTAACCACTACACTACTGCTCTCCACATACGCTTCCATGTACACACGAACACGCGCGTATCACAGTCGAATGTGTTGTGTGGTGTGTAGGTGCTCGCTTATGAACTGTTTGTTCATGAGATAAAGAACATTATTGCGTGTCTTTGTCTTCGTCTGTGTTACTGGCGTGTAACAGATTAGCTGTATGTACCATACCGATGTGTGTGTGTGTGGACTGTTCTAAGTGTATTCGTGTGTGTACTAGTGTGTACTGATGTTCACACGGCGAATGATAGCTTCGTAAAAATACAAAGATCCCCCCCCCGTATAGCCTGAACAAACTGTTGGGGGAAATGCCTTGAGCGAGCACCTATGAAGGCCGGCACGGCACAAAAGGGGGGGGGGTGGATAACCAGCACTACGCCCGGCCGCCTTTGTCTCCCCAGTGGCGATGCTTTACACATCAAACCGAAAAAACTAATTTGAGGCTGGGTCGACCTAGGCGAGGCTCAGGATCGGTTCACGCGATCGGCACTGGCGTTGGTTGACCGTGAGCGGGAATCGAACTCGGGGTTTTCGTAGCCGAGCGCTCTCACCACTGCGCTACCGCTCCCCCAGGTATCCGCGTATGCGCTGCGCGGTCTGTGATTGGCGGCAGCGGTGCGTGCATGGGGGAGCGGTGGCGCGCTGGTTAGCGCGCTACGCTTCGAACCGGGCGACTCGAGTTCGATTCCCGCTCACGACCAATAAAAGTGACGATTATTTTTAACTTTTGCCGGACCTCCCCTCGGTCGAGTCAGCTTTGAACGAGTGCCTGGTGCGATGCGTAAAGCATCGCCACTTGGGGGGGGGGGGGGGGGAGACAAAGGCGGCCGGGCGTGGTGTTAGCCACCCAACTCCTCGTGTGCCGTGCCAGGCATTCAGAGGTGATCGCTAACAGCGCTTGCCCCCAATAGTCTGGTAACAGTACCGCCCCAACAGTGCACACAGATGCTCCTCCACACGGACGACGATCTTTGTGCACGAGCCTGCCTGTTCTAGCGTGTGTGCACTCACGTGTACTCGTTTGTGTGTGTGTGCTAACGTATGTGTGTTTGCTACTTTGTGAATGTGCTAAATGTATGTGTCAGTGTGTGCATTCGTACGTGTATATGAGTATGTGCATGTGCTAGCGTATGCACTGGTTATCTGTGTATGGTACTACTACGTGCATGTGCGAGTGTATGTACTGGCGTATACACCAGTATGTGTGTGCACTAACGTATGCTGGCGTGTCTGCTAGTGTGGTTATACCAACCAGCATGTGTCGGTACTAATAGCACATGTACGAATACGCACACACAAGTCCGTCTGGGTATGCGTACGCGTGTGTGGAAGCACCCAGTGACCCAAGACAGCTGCCGCTACTAGCGACACGTACTTGCGAGAGAGACGCGACGGGAGGAGGAGGATGAGATGGAGATGACCGAGAAACCTTGGCAGCGAATAGCAGCGGCGGCGGCAGCAGCAGCAGCTCGTTGTGAGCTCGCACTTAGGGAGCGAAGCGTACAATGCCCGTGTCTGGCCCGCGTTATCACTTTCGTTCAGCCGCTTAGAATTTGACTCCAGAATTCACTCAACGGGAGCCATTCATCGCCCCCGGGATCAGATAATGTGTGAAAACGACAACCTACAAATTGCCCGGTGCAATTTCTCTCTTGGTGTCTGTCTCCCTGTCTCGCTTACTCTCTCTACATATATATTGTAACGCACACACACTCATAATACACACGTGTGTGTGTGCGTGTGCTGTTTTAGTGGGGAGCGGTAGTGTAGCGGTTAGCGCGCTGCGCTATGAACCCGGCGACCCGGGTTCTATTCCCGCTCACGGCCAACATCAGTGACGATTATCAGAACCGGTCCTGGGCCAGGTGCCTGGTGCGATGTGTAAACATCGCCACTGGGGAGACAAAGGCGGTCGGGCGTGGTGCTGGCCACCCACCCCCTCGTGTACCGTTCCGGCTTCCATAAGTGCTCGCTAACAACACTTGCCCCGACAGTCTGTAAAGGTTATACGGGGGATCTTTGTCTTTGTGCTGCTGTACGTGTATGTATATAACCGCGTGTGAGTATGTGTGTATGTTATGCGTGTCAAGCTGCTATACTTTCCCCTCTCGCTGTCAGCTATAGCCCCTACTCAATCACGCACCTATAAGGACGTAGGTGTGTGTGTGTGGGAATGAAAATGACTCAATTGAGATTATAACGCGCCAATCATCGCCCCTTACCGGCAGACTAATGCCTCGTGTCACCCGTGCAAATGAGACTCATCCTGATCCCTTGAGTTCTTACTTGGCTAAACAAACGAATACCCGCGCGTGCGTGTCAGTGTGTGTGCGTGCGTGCATGCGTCCATATGCACGCGTGCCAACATCCCATTCATACTGCCCCCTCTAAAATCACACGCAGTACAAATGAATGAATGGATATTCACCACGTGTGTGCGTGTACAGCGTGTGTATATGTCCGTATGTACGTGCGTACATACATACCCCGTGTACCCACCTCCTACGATATCCACAGCGCCGTCCCGCTCAGACACGCACACACGTGTGCCGCAAGAGAGAATGAATGAAGGCACCACGTGTGCGTCTTCGTGTGCGCGCGTTATCAGCGCTTTGTGTGTATGCCACCGCGCGTGTGTCGAGCTACCGCTACTATGCACGCCGACTGGCACACACGCACACACACACGTGCCTGGCACGCACCGGCAGCCTTCTGCCTCCTCCTCCTCCTTGTCGCCTTTGCCGTTTGACGCCGACAGCCCCAATGCACGGACAACGAAAGCGACGCGCGGCCAGGCAGCTGGGTGGAGCTTTCTTATCCGACGCCTCGCCATTGGCCGGAGAGGCGGTTTGGGTGGTGGTGGTGGTGGTGATGGAGGGAGGTGGTGGTGGTCATGGAGGGAGGTGGTGGTGATGGAGGAGGGAGGGAGGAGAGTGGAGGGAGGAGGGCAGTGGTGGTTGTGGAGGGAGGAGGGAGGCTGTAAAGGGAGGGAGGGTGGTGGTAGTGGTAGAGGGGGGAGGTGGTATTCGTTGCACGTGCTTAGTCAGACGAAACCAAAAATGCGATCAAAATGTGTCAAGACCGTATTCTGCAACGTAGTGAGACCGCTGCTGTTGCTGATAATAGTAAACCGCTGCGTCTGTGTACAACCGTCTATGTGAATCAACCGCTGGATGGATTAAGGTCTTTCAGTGATCAGGGTGGAGAGAGAGGGGGGGGGGTGGTTTCTTGACTATATTTAACCACGCTGGTTAATGATAATAATAATACGGGTTGGTGAAGGGTGGCGACGGGGAAGGTGGAGTGGCAGAACTGGGTGTAATATTACTCGTCGCTGAACTTACAGCCGCGACCGGAAATCGCGCTCAGGAAGACGGAATTGGCATTGCGGTGCGCTAACCACTGCGCCACCGCTCCACTCTTGATCATAGCGGTGGTGGCGTTAGCTGCCGCGCTGCGGTGATACAGTGTCGGGACTGTCGTAAGTGCACAAACAGAACACACGCTTGTGACGGTATTGTCTTTGTGGACTCAGCCTCAAATGATACGAACACACACACGGGACACACACAGGAACATTGCCACGAGGGAGACAAAATCGGACGGGCTTGGTGCTGGCCACCCACCCCCTCGTGTGCCGTGCCGGCCTTCATAGAGGCTCGCTAACAGCACTTGCCCCCAATGTCTTGTGTTGTTGTCTTGTGTGTCTGTGAGGAGCGGTGGCGCAGCGGTTAGCACACCGCGCGACGAAAACCGGCCGACGACACGAGTTCGATTCCCGGCTCACGGTCACCAACACCCGGTGACGATGATCTGAACCGGTCCCGGGCCGGTTCAGATAACCCATGTCGGTGTTTATAGCTTCAGCGCTGCCGCGTGCGGCGAGTGCAAACCACTGCGCCAACACGCTCCACTCAACGTACACACACAGGAGACACACACATGGGACAGGGGGGACACACAGGAGACACACACAGGAGACACACACGGGACACACACAGGACACACACAGGACACACACACAGGACACACACAGGACACACACACAGGAGACACACACAGGAGACACACACAGGAGACACACAGGGGACACACACAGTGGACACACACAGGAGACACACACAGGAGACACACAGGGGACACACACACACGGGACACACACAGGAGAAACACACAGGGGCCACACAGGAGACACACAGGAGACACACACAGGGGACACACACAGGAGGCACACACATGAGACACACACACGGGACACACACACAGGAGACACACACAGGAGACACACACAGGAGACACACACAGGGGACACACACACGGGACACACACAGGAGACACACACAGGAGACACACACAGGGGACACACACAGGAGACACACACATGAGACACACAGGAGACACACACAGGAGACACACACAGGAGACACACACAGGAGACACACACAGGGGACACACACACGGGACACACACAGGAGACACACACAGGGGACACACACAGTAGACACACACACACGGGACACACACAGGAGACACACACACGGGACACACACAGGAGACACACACACGAGACACACACAGGAGACACACACACAGGGGACACACACAGGGATACACACACACAGGAGACACACACAGGCTGCGCGCGATTGTTCAACTGTCCAGGAACAGCTGAGGTCACCACAACCGCCGCGCTTGTGTTCAGAGTTGGCAAACGACGCCCCCCTGTGCGCCTATGGGTGGAGGGTTCAGGTGTGTGCGTCTCGTGTGTGTGTGTGTTGTGGGGAGCGGTAGTGTAGCGGTTAGCGCGCTGCGCTATGAACCTGGCGACTCGTGTTCGATTCCCGCTCACGGCTAACACCAGTGGCGATTATCTGAACCGGTCCTGGGCCTCCCCTAGGTCGACTCAGCCTTAAATGAGTACCTGGTGCGGTGTGTAAACATCGCCACTGGGGAGACAAAGGCGGTCGGGCGTGGTGCTGGCCACCCACCCCCTCGTGTGCCGTTCCGGCCTTCATAGGTGCTACTCGCTAACAGCACTTGCCCCTACAGTCTGTTAAGTCTATATGGGGGATCTTTGATCTTTGTCGCCGGGTTCGTAGCGTGCTGCGCACGATCGTGAAGGAATAGTTCGAGAGAAAGAGGGGGAGCGGTGGATTAGCCGCGACCCGGGTTCGATCCCCGCTCGTGAGCCTCCCCTAGGTCGACTCAGCCTCAAATGAGTAACTGATGCGGTGTGTAAGCATCGCCACCAGGGTGACAAAGGCGGCCAGGAGTGGTGTTGGCCACCCACCCCCTCGTGTGCCGTTCCGGCCTTCATAGGTGCTACTCGCTCACAGCACTTGCCCCAACAGTCTGTTAAAGGCTTCAACGGGGGTATATTTGTCTTTGGTGTTCAGGAAATAAGTACCTGGGGACCGGTATCAGCAATGGGGAGACAACGGCGATCACTTCATAGTTTCCTGCTAACAGCAGCTGCTCAGACGGCGGGGGGGGGGCTTTGTCTCTTTGTGTGTGGTGGTGTGGTGGTGTGATTGTGTGGTGGTGGTGTGTGGTGGTGGTGTGTGGTGTGTGGTGTGGTGTGGTGGTGTGGTGGTGGTGTGTGGTGGTGTGATGGCGTGGTGATGGCGTGGTGGTGGTGTGATGGTGTGTGGTGGTGTGGTGGTGTGGTGGTGTGTGGTGGTGTGGTGGTGTGGTGGTGGTGTGTGGTGTGGTGGTGTGATGGTGTGATGGTGTGTGGTGTGGTGTGGTGCTGTGTGCTGTGTGGTGTGGTGGTGTGTGGTGGGGTAGTGTGTGGTGTGGTGTGGTGGTGTGTGGTGGTGTGTGGTGGTGGGTGGTGTGGTGGTGTGTGGGGTGTGGTGTGGTGCTGTGTGGTGTGGTGCTGTGTGGTGGGGTAGTGTGTGGTGGTGTGTGGTATGGTGGTGTGTGGGGTGTGGTGTGGTGCTGTGTGCTGTGTGGTGTGGTGGTGTGTGGTGGGGTAGTGTGTGGTGTGGTGGTGTGTGGTATGGTGGGGTGTGGGGTGTGGTGTGGTGGTGTATTGGTGTGTGGTGTGGTGCTGTGTGGTGCTGTGTGGTGTGGTGGTGTGTGTGGTGTGTGTGATGTGTGTGGTGTGCGGTGTGGTGGTGTGCGATGTGATGGTGTGTGGTCGTGTGGTGTGGGGGTATGTGGTGTGGTGATGTGTGATGTGGTGGTGTGTGATGTGGTGGTGTGTGGTGTGTGGTGGGGTGGTGTGTGGTGTGTGGTGTGGTGGTGTGTGGTGTGTGATGTGCTGGTGTGCTGGTGTGTGGTGGTTTGTGGTGTGGTGGTGTGTGGTGTAGTAGTGTGTGGTAATGTGGTGGTGTGTGGTGTGTGGTGTGGTGGTGTGTGGTGTAGTAGTGTGTGGTGATGTGGTGGTGTGTGATGTGGTGGTGTGTTGTGTGTGGTGTGGTGGTGTGTGGTGTGTGGTGTGTGGTGTGGTGGTGTGTGGTGTGCTGGTGTGTGGTGGTTTGTGGTGTGGTGGTGTGTGGTGTAGTAGTGTGTGGTAATGTGGTGGTGTGTGGTGTAGTAGTGTGTGGTGGTGTGTGGTGTGGTGTGGTGGTGTGTGATGTAGTAGTGTGTGGTGATGTGGTGGTGTGTGATGTGGTGGTGTGCTGGTGTGTGGTGGTTTGTGGTGTGGTGGTGTGTGGTGTAGTAGTCTGTGGTGGTGTGTGGTGTGGTGGTGTGTGATGTGGTGGTGTGCTGGTGTGTGGTGGTTTGTGGTGTGGTGGTGTGTGGTGTGCTGTGGTGGTGTGGTAGTGTGTGGTGTGGTGGTGTGTGGTGTGGTGGTGTGTGATGTGGTGGTGTGTGGTGGTGTGTGGTGTGGTAGTGTGTGGTGGTGTGTGGTGTGGTGGTGTGGTGGTGTGTGGTGTGGTAGTGTGTGGTAGTGTAGTGGTGTGGTGGTGGTGTGGTGTGTGGTTGTGGTGGTGTGTGGGGTGTGTAGTCTATGCGTGATCCGTGCCTCTGGTGGTCTGGTGTGTGTGGTGTAAGGCGTTGTTCTGGCCTTCATAGGTGTTCGCTAACAGCGCATGTTCCAAACAGGGTGCGTAGCCTATACGGGCGATGTTCGTTTTGTGTGCATGCATACAGAACATGAAACCTAATTGTGTATGTATACGCACGAATTTCGAGATGAAATAATGTCGACCTTGTAAGCGGCTGAGACGTCTTATAATGGGATCGTGCATAGGACGCGTATCTCTTAGCACGCGACAGAAATATTAAATCACAGACGCCTCTGAAACAAATGAGTGGTGCGTGTGTGTGCGCGCACTAACGCTCCCGTGTGTGATTTAATTATGCGTGTGTGCGTGTCTGTGAGAGGCCGAGTTCTGTTCCCGCTCACGGCCAACACCCAGTGATGATTTTCTGAACCCGTGCTGTGCCTCCCCTGGGTCGACTCAGCCTCAAATCAGTTTCATGGTGCGATGTGTATAAAACATCGGCACTGGGGAATACAAAGGTGGCCGAGCGTGGAGCTGGCCACCCACCCCCTCGTGTCCCGTGCCGGCCTTCATAGGTACTCGCCAACAACACTTGCCCCAAAATCATGTGAAGGTTATACGGGGGATCATTGTCTTTGTATCGGGGGAGCTGTGGCGCAGCTGTTAGCGCACTGCGCTACGAATACGGCGTCCAGGCTGCGGTTAACATGACCGGTAATTATCTGAACCGGTCTTGTACCTCCACTAGGTCGACTCGGTCTCAAATTATTACACGGTTCGGTGGCGAAAACC